TGGCATAGAACCTGCTTTCAGGTGGATGCAGGGGGCGTAACTAGAAACCGCTTGGGTCGCTATGGTGATTGTTACCGCACTGGGCGGATGGACTGGGGGAGTCCCCCACAATGCACAGGGACAGCTAAAGGAAGTCATCCAATCGGCATCTCCCGGTGTTATCACAGCCAACTGAATCCCTTGGTGGCGAAGACGTACACGTGACGCGTTATTTGCGGCTCTGCAATGCCGGCGACCGCTGATTCATTAATGAGGGAAAGAAGCCGTTACATAGACAGACGGGAGTGCTAAATAGTGATCCGGTATATGACAGCTGAGGGGGGGCGGAGTCAGTCTCCTCCATAGACGGCCGATGTGATACATTGTAACATTCCTGCGTCTGAATTGTATCTTCTCATCCTCTGCGCCCCCTCATCTCACACCTTCAGGCGGGGCGTACAGAATATGCGCGTTTGCACCGTGATTTGCGGTAATAAAGACGCGTGTTTCCGAGGTCTATCCTAATGGATCCGCGCGGAAAATACGCCACAAAGAAGCGCCTGTACGTTGGGCGAGATACGCCCCGGTGTGAACCACGCACATAGGCGATCATTGGTTGTCACATGCTGAGCGTTTCCAGCCCCGGTGAGATCTGATTCTGAGGTTATTATTATGGGATGTTCCCAAGTTTGGAGCGGCCGAATAATAACCAATAATGAAAGTTATCAAACGGTCACTTTTATATCTAAATATAATATAAAAATAATCAAAACTTGTGAAAAGTGTTTTCTTTCCTTCCTTTCTTTTATATTTTATTCATCCCTAGTGAGGCGTCGGGTCCACATGTATGTGATATATCACCCGACATGTCCTCTAACATACAACATGTGCGGGGACATGTCCTCTAACATACAACATGTGCGGGGACATGTCCTCTAACATACAACATGTGCGGGGACATGTCCTCTAACATACAACATGTGCGGGGACATGTCCTCTAACATACAACATGTGCGGGTACACTTAGTAAGAACGGATATGACTGACGGGGAAGAATCACGCGGCAACAATGTAACACGCGTGTCCGTCATGAAGGGGTTAACAAATCGCCAGAAAAGACAACAAAATGGAGACCTGGAGAGGTGACGCGGCGCGCTCCAAATCTGACCCGTAGTGATCTCACATCCAAGATGGCGACACTAAGGAGCCATGCTCTGTGTTACATTATCACCCCGA